ATAAAAATCTAGTATAAATGAACAACACAACCCCTTACACAGTGTCAAAAGCCAAAGTAAACAAGTGGGTTTTAAGTTTTAAGGTTTTCATGTTCTTGTCTCACCTGCAGGGAAAGCAGACCACCTTCTCAAACTTTGACCCCAGGACCCTTCTTCCTCGTTCTCTGGATTTCTGGACCTACGAAGGCTCTTTGACCACGCCCCCCCTCCTGGAGAGCGTCACCTGGATCGTTTTGAGGGAGCCAATCAGTGTCAGCCCTGCACAGGTGAGTCAGAAACATGAGAGACTGAAATGAAAGCGGATCAGATCAGAGCTGGAGCTGATGTTTGGAGGATGAAGTATTGATCTTGAGGAACAGTGAACCTCTTAAGCTCCAGATGTTCAGCAGAAAGTCGTCTTTGCTCCTTTAGATGTTTTAGATGAAGATTTTTTTTTGTTCTGATGTTTTTAGATGGCCAGGTTCAGAAACCTCCTGTTCACCGGAGAAGGGGAACCTGCCTGCAGCATGGTGGACAACTTCCGTCCTCCTCAGCTCCTCAAAGGTCGTCATGTCCTCGCCTCCTTCAGATAGACCTGTCCGTCACACTCAGGTGGTCCCGCTGCTCTGATGGACACTTGAACCTGTTGCTCACATGTAGAACAGCTTGTAGCCATGTCAGTCTGCTTCACAGTCATTTAAAATGTGTCTACAAAAACTAAAATCATGTTTCCAGATGAAAACTTAAAAGATTTATTAGATAAATATATTGATTATTTTGGAATCAGTAGAAAAGTATTTCTTTTTGCCTTAAAATAAAATTATTTTTAAACTTTTTGGAGTCTTTTATTATGAATCTATTTTCTGTTTCAGAACTGAAAGCTCAGATTATTTAAGTCTTTAGGACAGGTTCTTAATGTTAGACTGATGATAATAAGATAATCACTTATTTAAACGTGATCTATTTTAGATATTTCTTCATATAGCTTGTGTTGTTGTTAGGTTTTAGTTTTTAGAAGTTGTAATGTGACTAAATCTGAGGAGGTGTTTGGTGTGACCTGTCATAAATGAATGTAAAATTTATCAATAAAAACTCAAAGACGTCTCAATTTATTTGTTCTCAACTTATAGTCTGAATGCTGAGTCAGCAATTAAGTCAAACTTGTTCAATGGACAAATAAGGTTATTTGCATTCTTGAGGGTTGAGTTCATTAATCTGGAGCAAAAGGAAGCCTAGATTGAAAATGTCAAAATTACAAGGTCCTGGTTCTGATGGAGGAGTAGACCTGCCGAACATAAGATACTATCAGTTAGCAGTACACATTCGGATAATGCAGCAGGTAAAATAAGTATTGAACACGTCACCATTTTTCTCAGTAAATATATTACTAGAGGTGCTAATGACATGAAATTTTCACCAGATGT